GCTCAGCAGATTTGAAATTGTGTGCTTGTGTAAACACTAGTCAATCTTTACTCTAAACATATATTCTGGTTATTTTTTAGTTAGACCTACTTGTTTTTATGTATCTGTATAAGTACCCCCCGAAAAAAAATAAAAACACTGTAAATTGATTAGAAATATTAATCATCTGTCAGATTTCTGAGAAAAAAGTCAGAATTCTGAGATTAAAGTCAGAATTCTGAGAAAAAAGTCAGAAGAAAAAAGTCAGAATTCTGAAAAAAGTCAGAATTCTGACTTTCCCCCCCATGTTAAACTAAAAAAAATGTAAAAATCAGTTAACTTTTTTTTCCAGTGGCCCTAATCCTCTTCCGTACAAGACTAAGATGACTAAACCAAAAAGATTCAGTTTCTATATATGAAAGTGAACTAAAAACAAAACGTTATAAATGGGCAATATTCATAGCAGCATCCCGACAGACTATTTTACCTCTTTCACAAGTTTCTGATTTCTGTGTCGCCGTTTCCCTCCCTGCTGACTGAGTGCTCAAACACTCAGCAGTTCAGAGAGGGGAGGGGGAGTACAGTGACGTAACGCTATGCTGCGCCTTCAAAATAAAAGCACGCTAGTTAAAAAAATGTCAAAATCTAATATTTTGCGGTACAATTTTTGGGGGGGACATATCCACCTGGCTTTTATATTGGGGGGGACATGTCCCCCCCGTCCCCCCCGCTTCCTACGCCGCTGCTAAAGACCATCTAATTTCAAGAACACAAATCACACCTGAATTTTTATTTTTATAATATGCCGATAAAGGTAATCATGTTTCCATTGCTGAAGACAAGATTTTTTCAGAAATTATGTAATCTGGAATCAATAAAAAAAACACAGTTATGCCTGTACACTACCCAGACAAAACACTCACACAAACAAAATATATGTTCCTCAAAGTCTACTTATCATTTTTTATTGCTAAATGTTTGGCACAGTTTCAGAAAGAAGGGCCAACCTACCCTGAGTAAAAAGCAGCTACTCTGAGTACAGTAGTTCTGCCTCACGCTGTCATATTCAGCATTTCCAGTTTCAGTTAATCAGCATCCAATCAACTTTGTTAAGCATGAGCATGAAAATAAGCCCTCCTCAATTGAATACTGATAACAAGATTCAAAATATTAACTGCAGGAATTAAAAACCTTCTAAGTGCGCACTTCCTGCAAGTGGATTTAGAAATCTTTGTTGAAGATATATAAAAAATATTAAAGCATAATCAACAAAAAGAGTCAGCTTAACACTAAATAGGGATGGAAAGTGAGGGGCGCATTGATGCCATGTCATGCCTGGTTGCACCAAATCTTGGTGCAACCAGGCATAAAATGAGGTGGCAACTGATCAAGATGAACCACAATACAGTTTAGGTTCCAGTTATACTTAACCTTAAACGAACTAAAGCATTTATTAGCTAGATTCAACATGCCCAATCAATGATGGGCTGGTGTGTGTTGATTCCAAAAAAAAAAAAAAAAGTTAACAACAAACCACTGGACTTTGTTTTCAAAATTTGAAGACTTTTTGCTTCCCATCCAGAAAGCTTTCCCAGTTTAAATTGTCTGGAGTATAATTGAGTTCTAGGCTTTATAGAGTAACGCAACAAAAGCCTTGTTATGGCTTAGAAAACATGCAACTTGAACCGAAAACAGGTCAACACCTTTGTAATGGGGAGTCATTGAGGTCATTGCTGTCCTGCAAATCAAACCTGAAACTGGCCCATGCCTCTGTGATGGGGAGTTGTTAGGGTCATTGTTGGCCTGGCTTAACAGGTGTGATGTTTTGAGCACCTGCATGGCAATGAGGATTCAGATGAGAGCTGGAAGGAATCAATGCTGTGTTATAGGTTTTCGAGAGCTGAAACCTGAGTCTCCCCACACCTCTGCTTAAAATAGTTTTTTTCTCTCTTCATATAAATGGTTTCCTTCACACGCCTTTTAAACAATTTGCCTTCTTTGTCCAAAATGTGGACATTCTGGTCCTCAAACAAGTATCTTTTGTCATTAAGGTTTAGGTGGACAGCAAAGTCTTGTCCAGAGAAGGTAGCTCACCTCTGAGCCATATGTCTGTGGAGAGTTTGTTTGGTGTCTCCAATATAAAGATCAGAGCATTCCTCACTGCACTGAACTGTATACACCACTCCACCTATCTTATTTTTTCTGGTTTTGGCCTTAGGATGCAGCAGCCTCTCTCTAAGGGCCTTGTTTGGATTGAAATGTACTGGGATTTTGTGTTTGCAGAAAATCCTCTTGAGTTTTTTGTGACTCCAGCAACATTTGAGATGGCTATGATTTTTGTGTTTAATCTTCTCGCCGTTATGTTCTGCTGCATGTCTTTTAGATTTCCTTGCTGATTTGACAAATGCCCAGTCAGGGTATCCAAAGGTTTAGAGGGCATCTTTTATGTGTTTCTGTTTGATGTGTCATGTTCCACCTCGACACCAAACATTATAAAGGCCTGTAATGAAATAAAAGCTAGTAGTTTTTACTGGCTCGGTGTGCTATAGCTGATGGGTAAAATATTTCAGCACCATGTTTACTCATACAGATAATTCCAGTTGTTTTCTCATCTGCATAAGAGAACAACAGACTGCCACTCGGACCACCGACAATGATCTGTTTTTATCCGAGTGGGCTGTAAAAATAGGCATAACATCTGCAGTGTTTGTGAAGATTGCATGGCTTTATGTAAAAGCAAAAAAAAAATTGCACTGTTATTTCCCCAGCCTTCAAAAACAAAGGAATAAATATGTTCATTTTCCTAACTTTAGTCCCATTTCATGCTGTTCTCCTGCTTTTCATTTCACGCTCTGCTTCAACCTATTTATAGACGAGACAGAGGAGGGGGGCAGGAGGCCATTACTGACGACTAACCTGTGAATGTGTGTGTGTGTGTGCTGTTATACATTCAGTGAGCATTTGTATGGCTGTCGGCATTTTCCAATGAAAATCTAATGCTACTTGAATGTGGCAAAACGAACCCGTAGAAGATTCAAATCATTTTGGGAAAAGTTTCTGCTGAGAAAATGAAATAAATTTACTGTGGTTTCAGTCCAAAGAAAAAAGTTGCAAACTGACTGAAATGAATTTTTTCAAACCTTTAGCAATAAAAAGTGACAAGTAGACTTTGAGGAACATATCTTTTGTTTATGTGAGTGCCTTGTCTGGGTTGTGTACAGGTATAACTGTGTTTTTTTATTGATTCAAGATTACATATTTTGGAAAACTTCTCATCTTCAGCAACGGAAAAAATTGTATTTTTATTAACAGAATACTTGTTTAACTCTGAGTTGACAAAAGAGATTTATAACAAAAAGTAGTCGAGACTCATTCCATGTCTTTTGCACTCTTTGATGATGAGATGTGGAGGTAAGCAGCCTAGGGAAAACTACAACTGAACAGCATGTGAGTATGGATAAACATAAAAGTAATAAAGGTGCGACAAGTACCTCATCTATGACGGCTTTTTTTTTTACATGAATTTTCATCGCACCTGGATGCCAAAATTATTGCTGATTCCCCTCAGTGGTCCCTTTTTAAAAACCACAATGAATAGAAATACTGTGAACCAATACGTTTTGACATAACATTAATATTTTTTCCTATTCAGTCGCACAAGCATCCTCTTTAAACCCATCACATATTACTATAAATGAGAATATACCAGATTCTTATACACTTTAGTAATTTATTGATAAGACGGAAAATGTCCTCCTTTTTGGTGCTGTAGAAATGGAACACTGCACTTGCAACAGCTTGCTTCTGTACTGTTTATGCTAGTTGCCTGTTCCGCAAATGCTGTGCTAAACAAACCAAACATTTAATGTAACTGTTTAAAAGAATACGGGCAACCCTCTTAGCCAATTTGCTTCCGTAGTTCTGGACCTTGGCTCAAAAGCTTTGCCTGATTTCCATTCTTGTTTTTCTTCTTTTTGTGGCTTGAATCTTAGAAATGTAACATCAGGAAGAAGCCATTTTTAAAATCTACCACAATGCTACTATGATTTCGTAATGTCTAAGGTCCATAACCATAAATTAATATGTATATATTTAAGACCCTTCACCATTTATAAAAAAGTCATTGATTTGCTATCTGTTTTACAGTACAATTAATGCTTTTATATTGCAACACTTGATCAGACTTCCTTATTTACAGTGCTAGAGTTCTAGTGCTTTGCACCTTTTACATGTGTATCTGCTTCAACACACCTGAGTTAAATAACAAGGTCTCAGGGAACTTACTGCATGCTGAGGAGGTAATTCAAACATTTGATTTAGGTGTAGCAGCAGAGACTCTTCTAAAATGTGCAAGACACTAAACCCGGCATGCTCAGGTCCAGACCTCAAGAGCTACCAGCCTGTAACATATGAGAACATATGAGAACCTGTATATGATGGTCCTGATTCTGATACAAATCTGATTTGTAATGTGACTTGTTTCTGAATGGCCAGGTTGCATTCATCCATACTGAATGTCATTAATACTCAACAAAGGTCCTGTTCTGCATCTTGCTACACAGAGGCGGGAAGAAAAAACAACAATCATGGTGACGATAATGCAGAGAGCAGTCTTTATTTTCAACCCTCTTGAAAAGATTGCATTGTTGATGCACTGGCTGAGGTTGGGAAAGAAATGAAAGATTGCAAGAGGCACTCGACACTACCATCCATTACTTCCGTAAACACAGAGCACACTAGCTTGTGATGTCATTGCGTCCTTTACTGCGCATCTGGGACAGTTAAGCTGCATGAATGCAGTTCGCACAGGAGATCACATACAGGTCGCATATATTTGGAAATTTGAACAACCATGCAAAAGAGTCAGATTTCACAAAAAAATTGGAATTGAGCATTAAGACCTGTGTGACAGATCAACTGGGGAGGAGATCAACTGGTGACGGCAGCTGGAAAACCGCTGATTTTTGCAGATGTGTCTGTGGGCGGGGCTATTCAGGACCCCTCGCCTCAAACAGGAAGTTAACTGCGTGTAGACTCCAAGAACTACAAATTATTTTGTTATCTGATCGATACGAAATACGTTGAGATTTTAAGAAGTCACCATCACAAAGGTATTTAATTGCATTAAGAAAGCATATAGCATGTTTTAGGGTTTTCTCCAAACCCGCACACAGAGATTTGAGGAACTTGTCCTGCTGTTGTTTATCTGTTTGTTTCAGAGCCTCAGCGATGAGAGAAAGAACCGAGTAGAAAAACCACAGAAAGCTGTATGAGAAGGAAAAACAGCCAGTGCAATAAAAGGTCAATGGAACAACTAACGGTGTATTTTTTTTCCCATTTTTTTGTCGTCCTGTATGTCTTGTAAATTAAAACGAACGAAAATAAAAATTTCCTCTTTTTTTCTGAAAAGCGCCGACTGTTTATATGGAGGGAAACTAATAAGGCTCGGGCACATGACGTCACACGTTGCGCGGCAGCCATATTGATAGCTGGTCAGCCCACTGTTTACACTTTGACTTCGCGCCTGTAAGGACTAGCTTTCTTCTGCTAGTAGTTTGCTTAGTTTTTTGCCGTTTCATTTTACCTCTGCTGTCGTTATGGTCGCCCGTTGCTGTGTCGTAGGGTGTAGTAGCGCAAGCTGTGACTGGACGGGGAAAAAAATCCCAAATGGATTGTCTTTTTACCGTTTTCCAACCTGGAGGTGTCTCAATGGAAAACAAATGTCCTCCATAACAAAGAGTCGCTGGCTAGCATGGGTCGCTGCTGTAAGACGGCCAAATATAACTTTCAACTCAATCCCTGTGTCCATGAGAGTGTGTTCCCGGCATTTTCCTTCTGGTAAGTTACAGAACATACTGTTTTTATTCATCTATCTCCGCCCCTGCGTGGTAGTACCATGCTAGGACAGTCATATATCATCAGAATGTAACTACATTATCCCTGGACACGTACAGTCAGCACAAGATTTATTTAGATACATTTTTGATGTTTTACGTTAGTGCCAGCACCTAGTCTTATCACCACAACAAACACCACACCATGTTGAGACGGTAGCTTACCTTGGCTCTGATGACTGTGTTCTCATTCGGCTTGATAACTTCCATGTCATGAACTTTTCCATCTGTCAGCTGTTTGTAAGCCTCTAGCGACTTGTAGCAGCGAAACACTTCATGTGTGTAGGCACTGACGCCACACACTAGATACGAAAATATGTCCTCCCTCGCAAACGGCGGTAGAAATTCTTCCCCAACGCACCACTCCTTGCTTTCTACTTCGTAGGGATCAAGTCCGTTTATGAAGCCCATCTTTTGCAGATAACGGTCCCTGGCTTCCCTCTGCAGTGTGTCTCGGTATATTCCGCATCCTTTCTTCGCTTTTAACATCGCTGTTTACTCGTCTTTCTGCTCTGTCTCTATGCTGTTTTAGGTCTTTGTTTACCGTAGCAACTAGCTACCAATATGGCGGCGTACCGTACTTACAGCCAAACTCGTTCCCAGAGGAGTTATAAATGTCTTTAAAGTTTAAGATGTGTTGCAGGAACAAAGCAAAATAACATAACTGCTGCGGAGAAGAGTGAAATCTCTGAATTCAGTTTATATATTGTGTGAATATATGTGATATTTTGGGCAGCGGGGCGAACAAATGCAGAACCTGCTGTACTAAAGCATTTAAAGAAGCAGCCTCCAGGCTAACTGCTGCCAAACAATGAATAAATAAAACAGGGATATTTTACGGTAGATATCTGATCGAAAAAAAAGATCTGGTTATTATTTTTTCTTTTAATAGCATAGCATAACCTACTGTCTAACTATCTCTTAACGGGGAGGCCCCATTCTGTTCTAAGAGTAAAGAAGGAAAAAAATAGTAATAATATCTGATATTCTGGAATTCAAACATGTTTTAAGCGATCAGCGGACTCTGAAACATTAACTGTCACCAGTTGATCTAGACCAGCTCTTCAACAGGCAAAGCAGACACACGCAACAGGTTCATTAACGCAGGTGGGGTCATATACAGTGCACGTATCAATAGCTCAGCAGGTAAACAGACGCTTTGTACATTAATACAATGTCGGTCGCGGGTTCGATCCCACATATACTGTTATGCCCTCCTTTTATTTTAACAGATTTTCCACAGATGGGCAAGACAATATTATCTCCAAACTCTGAAATTTCCTCGCAATCAACGTTTTGTGCTGAGTTGCTTTTTGTCATTCTAATTGTACCAGTGAAGCAAACAATTTAGACCAATAGTAAAAAGTAGACAAAGCAATACTCTATTGCCAGTAACTTGAAAAACGCGAATGATTTAAAGTTGTTCTGCATGCAAACCAAATAATGTGGCGTCATCAAAACAATAGAAGGGAATAACATGACAGCTGACTGCGTGAACATGGTCACACATCATGACGGGTTCGTAATTGCGCTAAGAAAAATAATCAACAATAACAGTTAAACATTTAAAGTAGCCTGCTACAACCCTAATTGAGGATAAGATAATAACATCCAAACAACATCCCAGGAGATGGAGTGTTTTACAGCCCATATTCCTCCAGATCCCGCTGGATCACAAGTTAATCTGTGACACTCTGCAGATTCTGACGCTTTCAGATCCTCACAATGCATTTATTTGATCCCCAAACTTAAATGACTCATAATATTTCACATTATCCACAGACAACAGACGTGTGTTGGATATATATTAGGCCAGGATAAATTATAACCTTTATTCTGACCCGTTTGTTTACATTTGCGGCATTTTGATCGGGCAACCACGCAGCCAACTAATCTCTCCAAACAGCTGTGCTGTGGACCCCCGCACAAATTAATCTAGTTCTTCGTTTAAGAATATCTGCATTTTTCTACAAGATAAAACATAAAACAGTCACGGCGACTCATACCCACACCATAGCGGTAGCTGCTAACTCTGGGATTTAAATTCTACTGTGAAAACTGAAAGAGTAAAGTTTTCGCATCAACAGGTATGTGATTCAGATTCTATTAGCTGCAATGCGCCTAAGTAAATACATTTTACCCCCTTTTTACATATGGGGCAGTAAAACCAGTTCGTTATGGTCTCATAACTGGATATTATGAACAGACTGAACACAATAGCAATAAAAATAAAGGTGTTTGACCTGATACAGTTCATCATACGGGACAAAGTTTTGGGATCCACAAAAAAAACAACAACACCGTAGTAGAGACTTGTATTTGTGTCCAGACAGGAGAATAAAGGAAAGATGAGAGCATTGAATCTAAGAAAATAACTTTTTGTCAATATTCAAAAAATAAAGTGGGAATAGTTGGAAGGATGAGAAGCCCAATTGTTCCGTTTGCAGTCAGTTTTTCTTTAAAATGTGCTGCTTACACACGTGCCTTCTGAATGACAGGCCTCATTAATGGATTTATTTTTACGTTCAGGAATTTATGAAGTGGGCGGACTTTATCGTCCAAGCTACAGGTTTTCATTTATAGCTTATCGTTCAACAGGAGAAATGACACTCCAGTGTGAGACAGACTTTTATTTGTATTTTTTCTTTACACTTGTGAACGACGCTGTTCTCTGTGTGGGATTCTTTGCACTATCTGCTTTGCCGAGGATACAAGTTCTTTACCACATCGTTCTAATCTGAAAAAACAAAGCAAAACAGAAATTAATTCATTAGATATGTCGGTTGATTTTTTTTTGGCGAACAGTTTTGTTACGTTAGGAATATTTTTTCGCCAGGCATCAACACAGCCACCTAAGCTTCAGTAACATCTGCGGTGCGCATAGATTCTAACCAGTTGATCTGTCACACCTGCAGTGTGATATGGTAAATGGTAAATGGTAAATGGCATGTACTTATATAGCGCCTTTATTCAAGTTAGGAGACTTGACCAAAGCGCTTTACACTACATTCATTCACCCATTCACACTGCTGATGGTGGCAAGCTACATTGTAGCCACAGCTGCCCTGGGGCTCACTGACAGAAGCGAGGCTGCCGTACACTGGCGCCACCAGTGTACGCCACCAGTGTACGCCAGATAGTTTTCTTAGATGCATTTCTTCTCTAACACACCTCAACCTAAAGGCTAAATTCCCTCATTCAGCTCAGCAGAGGCATGGTAACAAACCACTCATTTGATTCATTGGTCATTGGTGCATCAAAGAGTTGTGGGATAGTAGTTCTTAAAGACTGGACCTTGATGGCCAAATCTGGCCTTTTCCCAATGTTCTGTGGATGTTTGTTTTTTTTAAAGTATAGTTTAGATGAAAAAGTTGGAGCCATGATCTTTAACTTGATTAGTTTTAGGCTGTAAAATGAAAGATATCCTGGGGAAATATTTTGTACTTTTTGCAGAAAAAACCAATAGTATATCCTATCAACAGAGGGGAATTTGGCATTTTGTGTGTGTACCAAGCTGTGTCTCCACATTTGGCTCTGTTGGAGTCCAAGTGTGCTGAAAAAGAGTACATTATTATGAAGACTTTATGTAGCCCATTGTGCTGAGTCATTTGTGAGGGAAGCTACATGTGTTTTAATGGAGGTATTACTGTCACCCTTACTTTTATAAATAACGTTGATGTAAATGTAATGACTTGTTTGCACCTTGTACCTTCTGCTTTTTTATTTCTCAGCCAGGATATCCTTGTAAAAGGGATTCAAATCCTGATGGATTTCTTTCCTGGTTAAATAGATAAAATATATTTTTTAAAACATTCAAGCAACTTTTTAAAACCCAGTTACCCTTTTGCTGGAGTAGAGAATGCTTTCCAGAATTACAGACGTAGCTACACTATATTGCCAAAAGTATTTGCTCACCCATCCAAATTATTGGAATCAGGTGTTCCAATCACTTCCATGGCCACAGGTGTATAAATTCAAGCACCTAGGCATGCAGACTGTTTTTACAAACATTTGTGAAAGAATGGGTCGCTCTCAGGAGCTCAGTGAATTCCAGCGTGGAACTGTGATAGGATGCCACCTGTGCAACAAATCCAGTCGTGAAATTTCCTCGCTCCTAAATATTCCACAGTCAACTGTCAGCTGTATTATAAGAAAATGGAAGTGTTTAGGAAAGACAGCAATTCAGCCACGAAGTGGTAGGCCACGTAAACTGACGGAGCGGGGTCAGCGGATGCTGAAGCGCATAGTGCGAAGAGGTCGCCAACTTTCTGCAGAGTCAATCACTACAGACCTCCAAACTTCATGTGGCCTTCAGATTAGCTCAAGAACAGTGCGCAGAGAGCTTCATGGAATGGGTTTCCATGGTCGAGCAGCTGCATCCAAGCCATACATCACCAAGTGCAATGCAAAGCGTCGG